CTGGCGGGCCCACCCCCCCTATAGCGAAAATCTCTCCAAAAAAAAAAAAAAGCAGGTCTTGAGGAACCAGGAGATGGCATAGCCATTATGTCACTGGACTCCCACATGACCGGCCACAGTTCGAGTCTCAGAGCCAGTGGCTTCAAAATCATGCAAGGCACATGTGTGTGCATGCCCAGATCCCGAGAGGAGAATGGAGGAGAAGGGGATTGCTGCATGGCCATCTTCCCTGGGGGGTGATTTCTCACCTTCCCTCTCACTGTGTCTGTCTCTCTCACACATGCCCTAAGGCAAATAAATAAATTAAATTAAGTTTTAAAAAATCCAGATCTTCAGGACCAGCAGATGGCGTAATGGCTATGTCGTTGAACTCCCATGTAGTCGACTGCAGTTTGAGTCCTGGACCCGATGGCTTAAACTCACGCCAGGCGCATGTGCGTGTATGCCCAAGATCCCAAGAGGAGAATGGAGGAGAAGGGATTGCGGTGTGGCCATCCCCCCTGGGGGGTGATCTCTCACTTTCTGTCTCTCTGCTTTTCTCTGTCTTTCTGGCGAGCCCCTGTGTCCTATAGCAAAACTCTCAAAAAAAAAAAAAAATGCAGATCTTGGCCTCCCGTGTCATGGCAGTTAAGGTGTCCGGATCCCACGTGACCAACAGTGCAGTTGAACTCCCAGACTGACAGGTTGGAAAACATGCCGGGTATGTGTGCACATACATGCCCAAAATCTCAGAAGGAGGGAGAAATGGAGAACAAGGGATTGCAGCATGACCTTGACCCTTAGGGTTGCTTTCTCTCTCTCTTGCTTCCTCTCTCTCTCTCTCTCTTGTGTGTGTGTCCCCCAGTGATCACACACACACCCTCTAGCAACGTTTTTTCAAGATAAGAAAATAAAATGCAGATCCCAGGGCCCTGCCACCAGAGGCGGAGATTTAATAGGTGCGGGTGGGGCCCTGGAATCTGCATGCTACCAAAGCAAAAGCACTCCTGGCACCAGCACAGTCTGCCCTCAGAGACTAGCTCAGGGTGACTGTTCACCAGAGGATCATGTTTTTGCTCTCTTCATTACGTAAGTAATTTAACTCAAGACAGAACACCCCTTGACAACAACACTGTTTCAGAGGGGGGTCATCTAAGTCTCTCTTTATTCACATGTGCTTTCCCCACCTCCATGCCCAAAAGAGATCTTGCTGTTTTATAACCTGAATTGAATCTCTCTAAGCGACATACTTCAGTATTGCACCATGTAATTTAATCTCCTACAAGGTGATTTTTAATAGCTACATGGTATTCCATTGTCAGTTCTTCCAGCATTTATTAACTCAGTCTCCTGGCCGTCGGGCATCGTGTTTCTAATCCTCCACAATGGCTGCTTTATGAGGAACGCCCCTGGTCAAGGATACCTATGTTGTTTCCTCTTGGTAAATTCCTTTTTTTAAAAAGAAAGAATCCCTTACTTAATTTTATTTATTATTATTCTTTTTAATCTGCTATAGGGCACCCATGCAGAGACATAGAGAGAGAGAGAGGGTAAGTGAGAAAGCAAGCTGCCGGGTCCAAGGCTCGAACTACGGTCAACCCTGTGGGAGTTCAGCACCCTAACCGCCACACTACCTGTCAGCCTGTAATAACTTCCTAAAAAGATTCACAGGGTCACCGGCAAGACTTCTGGTAGAGTGCCAAGGCCAGCCAAGCTTCCACCCACAGCCACAGAGCCTGGTAACTTCACAACATCGCCAACTGTAGACCTCCTTTCTGTAAAGCTCCAGTCAGTCTGATAGAGCTGGGGTGATCCTGGGCCTGGCCACCAAACCCCACTGTTTTTCAGAGTGATGCCACGTCGACAGAGAGTGAAAGTGAAGACAACTTCCTCACGCTGCCTCCTAGGGACCACCTGGGCCTCACGCTCTTCTCCATGCTCTGCTGCTTCTGGCCACTGGGCATCGCTGCCTTCTACTTCTCCCAGGGGGTAAGGGTGCCTGGAGGGCGTGGCATCCCTGCCTGCAGGAAGGGGTCAGGCATCAGGGGCCAGCGGCTGGGTTGTTTGGCCGGGCATTTGGGTGGGGTGGAGAGTGCTCCCTTTCATTTAGCTGGTTGTCTCTCTCCCCAGACCAGCAAGGCCATCTCCAAAGGGGACTTCCGGCTGGCCAGCACCACCTCCCGCCGGGCTCTCTTCCTGGCCACACTCTCCATTGCCGTGGGTGCTGGTCTCTATGTGGCCGTGGTGGTGGCTCTGGCAGCTTACATGTCGCAGAATGGCCACAGCTAGCAGCAAGGAGGACCTGCATCCTGACTGCCCTGGCCTATCTGAGGAAGCAGGGGCCTGGGGTTGCAGACTCTAGGAGAGCCCTGGCCTGCAAAGAGATCCCGTGGGAGTGACCTGAAGTGGGAGGCCCCCATGTCTGCAGCCCGCAGAGCTCAAGCTTCACTTTTGCTCACACTCTGCTTCTGGCCCAGAGCAGGGCCAGGAACACCACTTGCCAACAGGCTGCAGGTGGGAAGCAGGAGAGGGCAGGGCTGCCCACCAGGCCATCCCCTAGAGAGTCTCCTCCTCTGCAGGCAACCCACTGCCCACTCTGCTGACCTCCCGGTAGAGAAAGAACAGGAGACTACAGGAAAAGAAAGGGGTACCTGGGGGAGAGAGCGCCTGTCCCAGGCCTTTCAGCCCACAGAGTCTTCACCTGGGGACAATCTGGGCTTCCCCAGCTCCACTCTCTGGTCCCTTAATGCCCAGACCCTTGTAGTCAGCCAGGAAGGAAACACATAGAGACGCAGGGGCCCCTGCGCCTTCTGATTCTGGGGAACGCTCATCTGCCCTATGTGCTGGTCAGGCACTGCAGATCCTAGTAGGGACGAGGGTCCTGGAGTGGAAGCTCTCATCTAAGGGCAGGTCCTTGGAGCTTCCTATGCAAAGGCAAAAGGCAGGTGCAATCACAAGGAGACTGGAGGGCCCCGAAATATTGCTGGACCGCACAGGCCTCCCCACTGTGCCCCTGTTCCCAGCTCTCCTTATCTTTTTCTGGGCTCTGCTGGGAGTCCCTGAGCGTGTGTTATCCCAGGAAAACTGAGCAGGAGTACCATCAGCCTACCAGCCACTGAGCACAGGACCTAGAGCCAGCCCTGTAGGATATGCAGAGCCTCTGGGGAGTAGTGAATGTAATGGGGAGAGGCCAAAACTGCTCAGGAGGGCTTTCTGGAGGAGGTGTCCCTGGAGCAAGGCCTAGAAGAACGAATAGAATTTCTCTACGGAATTTGTTTTGATGAAACTTCTTGCATGTATGGTTAGAGGAGTGGCAGAAGCCTCCCATGGAAGGTTTCCAAGCTGTTTGGATTCTGCCTGGAAATTTGGGGACTAGAGCCAAACCTCAGTCATTTCTGAGGGCTCCACCAACTCAAGAAGGAAGATCAGGCCTGTCTCTCAACACTGGTGATGTCTCCCTGCCCCTGAATGCTGGAGGGTGGGGTGGGCCCCTGGCCAGCCTTGAGCCATCTTCACTGACACCCCGTACTTAGGACTGCCCCCAACACCCAGTCAGGGAAACATCAGTCTGAGAGATATGCGGACAGGCGGAGGCAGCACTGCAGGGCCCCACTGTGCACGAGGCAGGAAGGGGGTCGTCCCTGCGCCCCATCCTGAGCCTGGGGCCATGGCTCTACCTCTGTCTGTCCCTGTCCCATCGTCCTCCCCACCCTCCACCCCCTGCAGCATCAGCAGTTTTAATGTCCCATTACTGGATTTACTTACCCTTATAATAAAGGTTTCAGTAACACCGGGTGCCCTCGGGGCCTCTTGCTCTTCTTTGCCTGGGACCCATTCCCTGAGGCTGACCTCCAGCATGATGTCTGCTTTTCTAGACCCCCACCAGCCTCTGAGAGGACGAATCCCCACATGGACTTTGGCGGACAGTGAGGCAGGTATCTCCACCCTCCCAGGTTGTCTCTGCTGAGGGGAGCCTGGGTTTGGGTGATGGTGCACATTTGACTGTGCAGGGCAAGGTGAGAGCCCACCGGAGAGGAAGCCCTCCAGGCTGCAGAGCTTGGAGGAGGGAGGGACGTGAGCCAGGGTGACTGAGGAGAGGGAGCCATCTCTGCCTGGCTCAGGGCCCGGCCTCAGAACCAGTTCTCCAATACCCTCTTGGTCCTGGGTCCCCAGGAGCCTGCCTGGGCTGGCAGAGGGACTGGCCTGGCTACTAGGTCATGGCACATAGAGGACCCTGGGTCAGGTGTCCCTGAGAAAGAGATTAACACACAGGATGTACATTGCGGCTGCTCTGAGGATACCCCCGCGGAAGGAAGAAGGAGGCAGGTATGGGCGAAGTGAGGTTGGACTGAGGTGCAGTCCCGACCGATGGTCACGGGGGAACTGAAATGCCCTTCAACACTGACCCACGTTAGGTGAAGGGCCAGGCCTTCCTGCCCCACATGGACCAGTCACTGGATATGGGCCCAGAAAGGGTTTGACCTTGGGCAAGGCAGCTTTCTTCATGGAGTGCCTCAAAGGCTATTTGTTGCCAGCAGCCAGAGGGCCATCCGTCCTTGCAGACGGGGTCCTGAGTGCATGGCACTGCACACTCCCACACCACATCCTCCCCCACCAGCAGATCGCCCGGAGCCCACGCAGATCCCCTCTGCATTCACCTCTCCACGTCGAAGGCGACTCCGTGACACAGGCCAGCAAGCAAGACAAGCCAAAAGCGTGGGGACGCTAATGCAGCCTGCACCCAGTGACTGTGGGGAGGCGGTGGATACTCACCCCAGATGTCTCGCCCCTTGGGTGGGAGCACACTCATCAGGGCTCCCAGGGCTCCCCAGTGGGATCATGCAGCCTGCACCCAGTGACTGTGGGGAGGCAGTGGATACTCACCCCGGATGTCTCGCCCCTTGGGTGGGAGCACACTCGTCAGGGCTCCCAGGGCTCCCCAGTGGGATTGAGCTTCACTTGCCCACAACAGAAACCTGCTCGGCAGCGCACCCCTCCTGGGCGGCCTTCCTCTCCCTGTCTTCCTCCCTACCCGCCTGCTACGACTGTGCTTCCCACGGTCACCTCCCAATAAACCACCTGCAATCGAATCCTTGCCCTGGATCAGCTGCTGGGGACCCAAGCCCAAACGCAGGCACACATGCATATCCACATGCACACCTATATTCCGTACATATGTACGCACCTTACACACATGCACAACGCTGCAATCACACACACCCCTATGCACACATGCATCCGTGGACGCAGGCACATCCCACATGTGCACCAAACCTGTGTGCACACACCTGTCCTGCACATACAGCGTGTGCAATGCAGGAGGTGAGGAAGGAAGTGCAGTGACTGAGGAATCTCCCTCAGCCCTGCCTGCCGGGAGGTCTCACCCATCCCCAGGTTGAGATGGGCCAGGAAGGAGCTGGGCAGCAACGCACCCCAGTGCAGGCTCTGCTTAGGCTGGGCAAGCTGCCTCCCAGCCCAGACAATTCCTGTCCCCTTCCTAGCCCTCTGAATGCTATTCCAGACCTTGAAAAGAGGAAAGAAAGAGAAGCCAAATAATTTCCTAGTTTCAACCCAGGTCTTGCCCCACCCTCATCCACTCCCATCCCTACCCTCAACTGCAAATGCAGGCTCTGCATGAAAATGGCATCAGAACGGAGTCCTGGGGGCGTTTTTCCCATAGTCCCTCCAAAGGGCCCATACTATGGAGTCTGGGCTCATCCTGATCAGTCCCTTGTGCCTGGGGCACTTCAGGCCTCCTGCTTCCCTGCTCTGTCTGTCTCACTGCCTGAGGCTCCTGGAGGCAGGGGGGCTTCAGTTATTCTCCCCTGCCCAGGCTGGCTCCCAGGCTGGCAGAGAGGCTGGGGGCAGGGAGGGTCCCCTGGGTAAAGGTACCCGTGATGAGCTGCAGTGCCAGCACATCTGTGCAAATATTACCAATTATTTTCCTCACTATAAACACCCAGCAGGAAGGCAGAGAAGCAACCAACCCAAACTGTTTAAAATAGAAACTGAAATTGCTGCACAGGGAAGTCGGGGCAGCCAGCAGAACATGTACCCTGCACCAAAAATCCGAGGTCCCCCACCCCAACTGGCTGCCCTTAAATTGCACCTGAGCCTGCTGCCCCCCACCCTGCAGCCCCACCTCAACTTTCCGCTCCATGTGCCAGGCAGATGAATGTGGGACATGGGGGAGGGGGTGGAGGACAAGCAGGGTCCTGTGCAGGGGAGGGGAGATGGTGGAGTGAGGCAGCCACAGAGAAACCAGGAGACAAGGCCACCTGGCCTGTGGGGAAGGGCAGCTGCGGGGCAAGCTCCAGCCCTGACCCCACCCTGCAGCCCCACCTCAACTTTCCGCTCCATGTGCCAGGCAGATGAATGTGGGACATGGGGGAGGGGGTGGAGGACAAGCAGGGTCCTGTGCAGGGGAGGGGAGATGGTGGAGTGAGGCAGCCACAGAGAAACCAGGAGACAAGGCCACCTGGCCTGTGGGGAAGGGCAGCTGCGGGGCAAGCTCCAGCCCTGACCAGCCCTGGAAACCAGGAGACAAGGCCACCTGGCCTGTGGTCAAAGGCAGCTGCGGGGCAAGCTCCAGCCCTGGCCAGCCCTGAGCCAGGATGCCATGTGCAAAGGAGAGGGGAGGAAGCCTCCCTTCCTTATCCCCAGCTCTGACGAAGGAGGATATCCTAGAGGGGCAGGCCAGGGGCTTGGGGGACCTGGGCCAACTAGGAACAGTGACCTGAGTGAAAGGAATTTTTCTGATGGTGGGAATGATGAGAAACCTGCTCCCAGGACCCCAGCTGGCTTCTCTGTTCCTCCCTCCCCTTGCAGGACTGATAGGAGGTCACTGATAGAGCCTCCCAGGTTGTCCAAACAATGAAAAGCCCCATGCCTGTTACTAACAAGCCCTGCCGCGAACACCCAGAGACCCCACGTGGTTCCCTTTCTTGCCTCACTGGCCTTTCCTCGGACCCCAAGAACCCACCACCCCAGTCAGGAACTAAAGGCCTAACGGCTGGCTGTGCAGCCCTTGCACTTACATGCGCTGCACACATGGCATTCACAGGCGCAGCCTTGCGACCGGACCACTGGATGCATCTGTCCGTGGCCCTCCCCACAGACATGTCTGCGGGCTCACAGTCCTCTGCTCCCTAAGGACGCCCTCCGGGAGGGGGCTCTAGCCACACCCACTCCTCAGTGCACCCTGGCATCCTTGCTGCTATCCAGAGAACGTCTCCGCACCTAGTGAGGGTGGGATTCAGGGCTGCTGGGGCCAGGGTGCCTGGCCAGGTCATCAAGGGTCTGAACTCTAGAATCTGGCCACAGGAAGGGACTTGGAAAGTGGTCTGGTCACCGTCCCTCACGCTGCAGATGAGAGGGCAGAGGCCCAGTGACAGGCGAGCTGTCCACCAGCACAGCCCAGGCCTGGCCTTGCTGAGCTAGCCTGGTGGGGTCCGCCTGCCGCACGGAAAGCCCAGGGAGGACTGCTGCCCCCACCCTGGTACGAACAGTTTACCAGGCTTGCTTCCCTCAGCCTGGCCTCCCAGGCTCTTTCCTGCTTCAAAGGCTTCTCCCGCCAGCCCCTTCCAGGGCAGTGCCTCACCCTTCTGTGCTCATCTATTTTCAGTGGCATGGCAGAGGTGAGGGGAGAAGGTGAGTCTTGCCTTTGCCTGCCCTGAGCTCACAGCGGTCCCCAGGGGCTCTCATATCCTCTCTGCAGCAGGGAGAGATGCTACTCTGGGCGGGGATCCCCATGGGGAGACTCAGATGTTCTGAGCAAGAATAAAAGGTATTCATGCAGCCCTTCTGTGCGCCAAAATACCCCCAACTTGCACCCGTGGAACTGCTTCTACCTTTCCCTCTGAACAGCCAGGTGGGTTTCAAAGCCAGTTCTAGCTCCAGGAGGAAAAGGCAGAGAACTCCCAAAGGGGAGGGTCTCCTTGGAGGCAATCAGGGGGGACAGAGAGGACAGAGGGCATGTTGGTACCCGTGGGAGGGGCCTGGGGTGAGGCTACACTGACAGAGCAACGTAAATGCACAAGGACCTTCACACTGATTCTGTCGCTGGGCAGGCACTCCCGTCTTGTTTACACACAGGGAAACTGAAGCCAGCAAGACCTTTTCCTGGTACTACGGCCTCTGGGAGCCAGACATGGCTCCACTCGCACCTGCCGCCCACATCCCAGCAAGGCCAACTCCTGGCCATTTCCTTCCTCAACCCGCTCCAGCTCTGTCCCTAACGTGTCCGCTCAGACCTGGCTGGGAGACGCAGCGTTACACCATGGAGCCGGACCACCAAGTTGGACTCCTATATCCTGCTTCCCTGCGACTGTGGGCAAGTTCCTGGTGTTTCCCTCTGGAAAATGAGCGTTGTGATGGTGACAACTGCATAGCGTTACTGCAAGTGAGCGAGCGAGCGTTACCTAAGTTAATACCTGTAGGACTCTTGCAGCAGCACGGAGGGTCCAGTAAGTGCTGCCTGGAATTTAACAATTATCTCTAGCTAACTACCACCCTCCCCGGCTTCCTCGCCAGGAATTTCTCACCTCCTCCACCACTACCCTATCCACAACCAGAGATTAAAGTCCTGGGCCCTGCTCATCTCAGCAGATCTCGCTGCCACAGCAGGGGCCCAGGGCACACGGATCTGTTCCCCATCACCCTGCCTTTGCTCAGGCCAGTCCCCTGCCCACCTGGGATTCCCTTATCAGCCTTGCCCGTCTTTCCCTCTCCACTGATAAAACTCTTCCAAGACAGGAGTCTAGAAAATCTCATCTCTCTGCAGCCTCTTC